GTGGGGTGGAGGGCTGACTTAGGACGCTGGCCGAGGGGGGTGGGTGGAGGGCTGAACGCCGCCTGGGTCCTGGGTGGTTTTCATAACCTGCAGAGGCAGCACCTGGACACAGCGGTGGACGTGCACTTGCCACACCGGAAGCACCGTGTTCAAGGAAATACAGACACCGGTGGGAACACCCGGATCGCACCAGCCAGGGCTCAAGCCCGTCACCCTGAAGCGCCAACTGGGCAATGCGATTTGGGGCTCCCGGTTGCTCCCGACAGCCCCGAGGAAATGCATTGTGTCCACCAGGCTCTGGTTTTAAAGAGGAGCCAGCACAGACTGGCCTGCTGAGGCCTGGCGGCGAGGCAGGCACCTGCCTAATTTTAAACGAGTTTTGTGTCCTGGCTTTAACTCAACACGTATTCACGTTGCCAATCCCCCAGTACGCGGGTCACACACGAGTCTGTCGGACTCATCATTCAAACGCACGCCCTCCATGCCCCCGGTTACTGCTTCCAGGAGAGGGGCACCTTTACCGCCAAGGCAGCGTGTGCCGGTGTCACCGTGCAGCACCCGGGGCTGCTCCCCAGGCAGGCTCCTCGAAGCCCCACCCACCCCCAGGCACCCCTGCCCGCCCACTTCTACCCCAGCAGCTCCTGTCGTGTTGGTCACGTCACGTCACGAGGAGAGAATTTCAGGGTGTCAGCAGAGCAAGCGAGACTCACTGTTTTAGCTAAAAACAAACCTGCTTTTGCGGTTGTGCAGAGGAAAGCAGCCTGCAACACACGTTTTCCCTAGAACAGTCGGTGAGTTTGCTCAGGCGTAGCCGGTCAGGCCTAGGAGAGTGTCCATGTGGATGCACAGGTAGGGTTTTCCGAGAAGGTTAAACAAGTGGGCCATTGAGATGGAATGGAGAAAGGTAAACAGGCGGCAGAGGCCGCGTGCGCTTCCGCAGTCTGGGGTTTGAGAGCGTGTGAGGCGGGTTTGGTCGCTGGCATCTCAAAGCAAAAACCGTGCAACACTGAGTGGCAGTGACCTTGGAAAAGCACCCGGCAGTGCAGCGCCAGCCTCAGGCCGGCCGCCTGCTCGGAGCCTGCACCCACACCTTCTGCCTTCCACCCCTTCCAGGTGGCATCAGCCGCGTCGCCCGGCAAATGACAGCGCCGCCACTCTCCGCCCTTCACCCACTTCCGGCGTTGTTCCTTGCCATCGACCTGTTCGAACGGGGAATCGGCCTGGCATGAAACTGACTGCGTGTTTTAAAGTAGGGAACTCAGCAGGTTGTCCAGCTATGACTGTACGGCATCCAGAAACCTGTGACCTATGCAAGAGGAGAGTGCAGCGTGAACTTGACCTCTGACCTTTGGGAAGCGTCCTGGGAACCTGCTGATGATCTACTACCCGGCTGTTCATGGTGCCGCCGGGTGAGCCCCCCTCTCGCCCACCCCCCTCATTTCCGGGTGAGCGTTCGTAAGACTTTAGAATGCAGCGGTCACCCGCGGGACGCGGCAAGGCCCTGGGTCTCCCGCTCTCACTGCTGGGGCCGCAGCGAAGTGGCCGATGAGTCACGGGCTCCCGGTGCTCCAAGGCCTCGGTGAGACAGAGTGGGCATGATGCGGGCAGGCCATCCCCAGGGCCTGAAGTCTGCCCGAGATGAGAGCGGCACAAAGCAGAAGAGACGCAGATCAACCCTCCAGCTGCGCGTGAGCTGGGATCCGGCCCATCAGCAGCCAGCACCCACCCCCGGTGCCCACGCCCCCGGCGTCCCACCCCCGGTGCCCCACCCCGGGGTCCACGCCCTCAGCTGAAAACAATGGATGCGGGGCCGCCTTGTGTTCTGGCCTGAGTGTTTTATGTTTTCGCCCCCGGTAAAAGCTAACGTCAAAATGGCAGGAACGGTGCGAGTGTAACAATTTGTCAAGGACGAAAACGAGGTAATATAACGCCCCGGTCCGGTGAGGGCTATTAGGGAGTCAGTCCAACAGCCCAGGGTTAGATGCGGCGCGCAGAAAAATTTGTTTCTTATTTTTATTGATTTTTTAAGTATTTGAAACATATCGGAGCTATGGTTAGATGTCGGCGGGGGGGGCTGGGGGAGCGAAAGATGAGAAGACTAGATTGAAAATAAAAGAAAGTAGAGGATATGTTTTCGTAGAGAAGAAATGAAATAAAGGTTCAGCGCG